TTCGAAATAAAGGGGGCGGTATAGGATTCGAACCCCCGATATCACTGCTAAGACCCTCCGACTCGCCCACTCGAGTCGCTTAGCCCTTCTGAAATTGGTGATGAAGGTGCATCAATCTTAGGTTCTGTTTTAGAAAAGTGCATTAATCTCTCAAATTTGACATTTAACCTTAAGTAAAAACAGTTTATTTGTTTTGGATTGTGATATTTTTAATTGTAAAAACTAATTTAAAACAATAGAGCTCTTTTTTTTTTCTTTTTATTGTGCTTGCTTTTTTTTGTTTTTTTCTTTGTTTGTTAATTTAACTTATCATTTTATTTTCAAATTTTGCTTTTATTTTAAATTAATCTTATTATTTCATATTATTTCTTCATTTTTTCCTTCTAATTAACTATTTAATGATATATTTTTTCTTCAATATTTAAAAAGTAACAATAAAATTGGTGCAATGGGTGCATCAGGCTTAGGTTCTGGTTTAGCAAAGTGCATTAATCTCTCAAATTTGACACTTGACTTTCGGTAAAAACAGTTTATTTGTTTTGGATTGTGATATTTTTAATTGTAAAAACTAATTTAAAGCAATAAAGCTCTTTTTTTCTTTTTCTTTTTTATTATGCTTACTTTTTTTTGTTTTTTTTCTTTGTTTGTTAATTTAACTCATCATTTTATTTTCAGATTTTGCTTTTATTTTAAATTAATCTTATTATATAATTTTTTTTCTTCATTTTTTCCTTCTAATTAACTATTTAATGATATATTTTTTCTTCAAAATTTAATATAAAAAGTGATAATGAAATTGGTGAAGAAGGTGCATCAGGCTTAGGTTCTGCTTTAGCAAAGTGCATTAATCTCTCAAATTCGACACTTAAACTTCCGTAAAAACAGTTTATTTGTTTTTGACTGTGATATTTTTAATTGTAAAAACTAATTTAAAACAATAAAGCTCTTTTTTTCTTTTTCTTTTTATAATGCTTGCTTTTTTTGTTCTTTTTTGTTTGTTAATTTAACTCATCATTTTATTTTCAACTTTTGCTTTTATTATTAATTAATCTTATTATTTCATATTTTTTCCTTCTATTTAACTATTTGATGATATATTTTTTCTTCAATATTTAAAAAGTTTCAATTAAATTGGTGCAATGGGTGCATCAGGCTTAGGTTCTGGTTTAGCAAATTGCATTAATATCTCATATTTGACACTTGATCTTCAGTAAAAACAGTTTATTTGTTTTTGATTACTATATTTTTAATTATAAAAACTGATTAAATACAATAAAGCTCTTTTTTCTTTTTTTTTATTGTGCTTGTTTTTTTTTTGTTCTATTTTTCATTGTTAATTTAACTCATCATTTTATTTTCAACTTTTTACTTTTATTATTAATTAATCGTATTATTTCATATTTTTTCTTCATTTATTTTTTCCTTCTATTTAACTATTGAATCATATATTTTTCCTTCAATATTTAAAAAGTGGAAATGAAATTGGTGAAGAAGGTTCATCAGGCTTAGGTTTTGGTTTAGCAAAGTGCATTAAACTCTCAAATTTGACACTTTCACTTTAGTAAAAACAGTTTATTTGTTTTGGATTGTGATATTTTTTATTATAAAAATTAATTTAACTCATATACACGGGCTAGCTAACTTTAATGAATGTGAAATTATATAATTAAACCAAGAAAAATTTCTTAAAGTGGGATATTAAAAACCTCTAAAAAAGATAAATTAATGAGATATAGATTAATTTGATTATACTTTATTTAAGAGATAAAATCAAAAAAATAGAGTGAGTTTTAAAAATATAGCACTTAATATTTGATAAAATAATACCTCTACCCCCAGAGGGGCTATAGGTCAAATTTAAAAAAATTTTTGACACTTTTAAAAACAGTTAAAGAATTTCATTTATAAAATTAATAAAAAATTTTTCATTCTAATTCTCCCCTATATAAAAGGTTAAAACAATAAACTCTTTTTTCTTTTTCTTTTTATATTTATTTTTATTGTGCTTGCTTTTTTTTTTTGTTATTTCTTTGTTTGTTCATTTAAATCATCATTTTATTTTTAACTTTTGCTTTTATTACTAATTAACCTTATTATTTCATATTTTTTCTTTCTAATTAACTATTTAATGAAATATTTTTTCTTCAATTTTTAAAAAGTGAAAATTAAATTGGTGATCAAGGTTTATCAAGCTTAGGTTCTGGTTTAGCAAAGTGCATTAAACTTTCAAATTTGACACTTAACCTTGAGTAAAAACAGTTTATTTGTTTTGGATTGTGATATTTTTAATTATAAAAACTAATTTAAAACAATAAAGCTCTTATTTATTATTCTTTTTATTATGCTTGCTTTTTTTTGTTCTTTATTTGTTTGTTAATTTAGTTCATCCTTTTATTATTAATTAATCTTATTATTTCATATTTTTTCTTCATTTATTTTTTATTAAAAAGTGCAAATTAAATTGGTGCAATGGGTGCATCAGGCTTAGGTTCTTGTTTAGCAAAGTGCATTAATCTCTCAAATTTGACACTTGACCTTGAGTAAAAACAGTTTATTTGTTTTTGATTGTGATATTTTTAATTATAAAAACTAATTTAAAACAATAAAGCTCTTTTTTCTTTTTCTTTTTATTGTGCTTGCTATTTTTTTGTTCTTTCTTTTTGTTAATTTAGTTCATCCTTTTATTTTTAACTTTTGCTTTTATTATTAATTAATCTTATTTATTATTTCATATTTTTTCTTCATTTATTTTTTCCTTCTAATTAACTAACTATTTAATGATCAGTTTATTTGTTTTGGATTATGATATTCTTAATTGTAAAAACTAATTTAAAACTATAAAGCTCTTTTTTCTTTTTATTTTTATTGTGCTTTATTCTTTCTTTCTTTGTTTATTTAACTCATCATTTTATTTTCAACTTTTTCTTTTATTATTAATTAATTAATCTTATTATTTCATATTTTTTCTTCATTTATTTTTTCCTACTAATTAACTATTTAATGATATATTTTTCTTCAATATTCAAAAAGTGAAAACTAAATTGGTGATGAAGGTGCATTAGGCTTAGGTTTTGGTTTAGCAAATTGCATTAATCTCTCAAATTTGACACTTTTACTTATGTAAAAACAGATTATTTGTTTCGGATTGTGATATTTTTAATTGTAAAAACTAATTTAAAACAATAAAGCTCTTTTTTCTTTTTCTTTTATTGTGCTTGCTTTTTTTGTTCATTCTTTCTTTCTTTGTTAATTTAACTCATCATTTTATTTTCAACTTTTACTTTTATTATTAACTAATTAATCTTATTATTTCATATTTTTTCTTCATTTATTTTTTACTTCTAATTAACAATTTAATTATTTAATGATATGTTTTCTTCAATATTTAAAAAGTCACAATAAAATTGGTGCAATGGGTGCATTAGGCTTAGGTTCTAGTTTAGCAAAGTGCATTAATCTCTCAAATTTGAAACTTAAACTTAAGTAAAAACAGTTTATTTATTTTGGATTGTGATATTTTTTTTTGTAAAAGCAAATTTAAAACAATAAAGCTCTTTTTTCTTTTTGCTATTATTATACTTGCTTTTTTTGTTCTTTCTTTCTTTGTTAATTTAATTCATCATTTTATTTTCAACTTTTACTTTTTATTATTAATTAATCTTTTTTATTATTTCATATTTTTTCTTCATTTATTTTTTCCTTCTATATTTTTTTTCAATATTTAAAAAGATACAATATAATTGGTGATGAAGGTGCATCAGGTTTAATTTTTGGTTTAGCAAAGTGCATTAATCTCACAAATTTGGCACTTAACCTTTGGTAAAAATAGTTTATTTGTTTTGTATTGTGATATTTTTAATTATAAAAACTAATTTAAAACAATAAAGCTCTTTTTTCTTTTTATTTTTATTTTTATTGTGCTTGCTTTTTTCTTTCTTTGTTAATTTAACTCATAATTTTATTTTCAACTTTTACTTTTATTATTAATTAATTAATCTTATTATTTCATATTTTTTCTTCATTGTTTCCTTCTAATTAACAATTTAATGATATATTTTTTCTTCAATATTTAAAAAGTGAAAACTAAATTAGTGATGAAGGTGCATCATGCTATGGTTCTGGTTTAGCAAAGTGCATTACTCTCTAATATTTGACACTTAACCTTGAGTAAAAACAGTTTATTTGTTTTGGATTGTGATATTTTAAACTATAAAAACTAAAATTAAACAAAAAAGCTCTAAGAATTTATTTGATAGCTTTTATTTGATTTATTTTTTTATATTTTTATTCCACTAATTTTATTTTATTTATTTATTTAAAATTTACACAAATTTATAAAAAAATTTGTAGCTATATGAATTAATCATAATCATTCAAAGTAATAAGCAAGTGTGTTTAATCAAAAAGATTAGTTGTCTTTAAAAAAGAATTCTGGTGATAAACAAGTGGTGAAAAAAGGATGAATAAATATTAAATCTTTTAATAATTTAATATTAAATAGATAGATTTTTTTATTTATTTTATATTAAAAAATATCATTCATATTTTTGTAATTATTTATAAAAAATAAAAAAAATAAAAAATTAAATTTACTTAAATAAATTAATTCCTATTAAGCAAACCCACTAATTTCTCCAAAAACAATCAAATAATTTGAAACTTTTAGTGTTATATTATTTTTTATTTAATTATATAAATGCCAAGCTTTTATATGCCATTTATATTTTAATCTTAAATATTACCCATCAATCATATTTCTAACCTATTTTTATTTATCATGATTAATTAAATACAATCATTTAAATAAAATATCAGGGAGAAATCAAATTTTACTTTTTAAATTTTATTATAATTTTAATTTATTGTAGAATTTTTTAAATTTTAATTTCTTAGAAAGTACATTTTATATAAATTAAATAAATTTTTTTAAAAATAAACCAATAAAAAAATTTTAATTTTATAAAAGTTTTATCTAGAAAATTATAAAATATTGATCAAAATTAATGATTAAAAAAATAATTTTTATATTTAGTCATTGATATCTGTAAAGTATATCAAAGTTATTCTAAATATATTCTTGCAACAATATAACAAAATAATATATAAAATATGTGTTAGCTAGAACTACAAAAATGAAATTATTATTTTAAGTATTTGAAGTTTATAACAAGCTTTTTTAGTTATATGAATGTAATTTTAATACATATTTGAGTTGTGAATAGTATATTAGTATAGAAAATATTGTGGTTTTAAGGTATTAAGTCATCTATAATTTAGTTGTAATATTTATTAGCTGAAATATGAAATATGATTAAGAAAATAATATTTATTTGTTTGTATTATAGGAAGTATTTTTTTAAAAATTGTTGTTCAAAGAAAAAAATCCTACAAATAGGTGTTCTATATAAAATTTATTATGAAATTTTTAAAAAGAAAAAATCAAAAAATTAGTTGACTACTTTAAAACGCTATTTGCCTTTATGAAAGAAAAAATTAACTTGCAAAAGATATTACTTTCTTCAGAGATTTTTTAAAACTTTTTCCTTAACAATAATTAATTAATATTGATTGATAGATATTTTTGTACGAAAATAAAAGTGCTTATCAATTTATAAATTAATTATTATTCATTCACTTAATTTTTAAATTTTAGCCTGAAATTTTGTTCCACCAAAGTAATCAAAAAAAATAAAGAGCCGAAAGCAACTAATCTAAATATGCAGATATCTAGTGAATAAATTTCTACTAACTCTATATTATCTAGCCTAAGTTAACAGCTGTAATACCTAAAATAGTGTCAAGCAAGTAGAATTTAGCTCATCAAGGTATTAATAACTATATTGAGTTTATTTGAAGCATTAATATTTTTTAGAATTAAATATTTATTATCTTATTTCTATTAATATTTTAAATGACTATGCAAATTTAAATATTTAAATGTATTTTATTTTTTAATTTTTATTTATTAAACTTACGAATATATAAAAAATAAAATAAAATAATTTATTTTATCATCAAATAAATATGGTTCATTCTTTTTAAAATAAAAATAACTTTTATTTTCTATTTTAAAATTAAGAATATTTCAATATAATAATTCAATAAATAAATTTATTTTTCTTCTTTTTAATAAACTATTAATATTATTTTATTATTTAAATGTGAATATTTAACAATAAAATTGAAGATATTTAAGTATATTTGAAAACGAATTAAAACTTCTTCTTGATAAGGCTTTTTTTTTTCAGCTAAATTAATCAAATTTCTTTGAATTAATCACTATAAATAGTGATACTCCAAATAGCTTTTGCTTATATAATTTTCACATCAAAATAAAAATACCTGCTTTTAGAAAGAAAAAAAAAACCTCTTAGCCTACTCTTAGTAAGTTAGTAACTGAACCAACCCTCCCATCAATCGCATAGCATTAATCAATAGCAAAAATGTCCAAAGCATTATAAGACTAGTTAATCAAAACAATTTCAGAAAAAATCTCCAAGGATTGCTATATTAAAAAGGCAAGTTTGAAAGAAATAATCAAATTGATGTTCAACCAGAAAACTTATTTCTCAAATTTTGAGTACTTAAACAATGGCACTTACGCTCTCATCTTGAGAGCTTAGAATACTAAGGAAAATCGCATTGTTGCCCTTAAATTCTTAACATGTTCGAATAAAGAGGACAAGAATGGTATCGAATCTCTGAAAAAAGAATATGAAATGCTTCAGAAGTTCAGCTAATCTGATTTTTTGGTAAATGTCTATGATTGCTTCTATTTAATGGAAGAAGATGTACAATAGGATAAAGATGGTAACGAAAAAATCATCTTAACAAAAGAGAAGTCCTACTTTGTCTTGGAAATGGAGCTTTGCTAGTGTAATTAACATTATAATTATCATCTATTTTTTTTTCGATTCCCAAATTATTTAAAAATTATGAAGAAGCCCATAGAATATGATGCTATTTTATTTTTTATCTCCTTTATGATTATTGAATTTCCGCCATTTTAAAAAAGCCAACAAATACATAATTTTTCTAAGTCTTTTTGGTTTTGATTAATTTTGAAGAAAAAATAGATTTGTGTTTAGCTGATTTAATTAATTTTGAAAATATAATGGAAATTGATTATTTTATTAAATTTTATTACTTTTTATTTTTAATTTCCCAGCAAAAACAGATTTTTTAATTTTCATTGAATTTTAGAAGTTTTCTTAATTAAATCTTCTAGAAGACTAATTAATCAAATTTAATAATCTATTTCACAGATATTATAATTAGAAATTTAATTTTATAATATTTTAAATTTTATTTTTTAATAATTTGCAATATTTCATGAATAAAGTTTACGTAAATTAAATTAAACATATATTTAAAAAATTTTAAATTATATAACAGAAAAACATCTTTATTTTTAATAAATTAATTTAATTTTTTATTAAATTTAAATTAAAATAAATAAAATAATTAACTAAAAAATAAAGTTTTAATATCAAATTAAAATTAATTAATAAAAATTAAATTTTTAATTCAATAGGATTTTAAAATATATAACTTAATTAAATTTTTAATTATTTAATTAAAAACATCAAAAAAATTAATTATATAATTAAATCTAATATTATTATTTTTAATTAAGAATTTTTTTTTCATTAAAATAAGTCTTCAATTTCAAATAGCAAACAATTTTGAATATTTTTCTTTTAATTTGTTAAGCAATAAAAATTTTTATTTTATCAATAGAAAATCTTAAAGAGCTCTTCGATTTTTTCAGAAATAAATAGCTACCCTCTAAAGAAATAAAGGAAATAATAGCTATTCAAATGCTAGAAGGATTGAATAACCTTCATGTCAAAAATATCATGCATAGAGACATAAAACCTCACAATTTCCTAGTTTAAGCTTCTCAAACTTATGGATTTACCATCAAAATCTGTAAAAAAAATTTTATTTTTTACAAAATTTACCAATTTAAAAATTATTAAAAATTAAGGCGATTTAGCATTTGCATCTTCAGTAACGAAATCGAAAAGTCACTACATATCAAAGGTAAAAATCAAAATATTATTTAAAAATAATCTTACATATATTTTAATATATAGAAAGGAACTGATGCTTACTTTGCTCCTGAGGTAGAAATAGGATAATCTAGGATTCAGGTTTTTAAACAAAACTAATCTTTAAATTTTTAATTTAATTTTAATTTTAAAGTCAGACCTTTTTTCTCTAGGATTAGTTTTACTTGAACTAGATAATTTGAAAGTGCTTAATGAAAATTGGATTGACTTTAATATAAAAGCAGAGATTCACTAAGGAAAAGCAATAGCTTCAAAATATTAGATTGATCGAAATTCTAATATTTATAAAATAGCCAAGATTTGCTTAAAACTAAATTATTTGGAAAGGAATACTTCAGGAGACCTGCTTTCTGAACTTATTAAACTTCATGGAAAACCATTGAAATTCACACTCACATCTATGATATTAGAAGTAATAAACGCATATACCAAATTTTATCTGGCTAATCTAATTAACCATTTAATTCAAAATATTTAATTAATTTTAAACTTTAATTCTTCTATCTTAAAATAAAAAAAATAATAATTATTAATAATAATTTCCATAAAAAACTATTAAAAGATAATAGATAGGATTAAATATCAAAAGTTTTTAAAATGAAAATATATATATTTAAAATAAGTTTTTTAATGATGAATAAATCAAAATTTTAATTGAATTCTATCACTTTACTTTTAAGAAAATAAATATTAATTATTTTTTTTTTAATGGTAGGAACAAATTCCGTAGTAAGCATAATTAATATTCAATAATATTAAAAAGATTCAAAAAAATGAGGTAAAAAAATAATAATATTTATATTTTACATTACAAATTATTAATTTTAAGCTTTTGATAACAATTTTTTTTTACTAAGCAAACTTAATTTGATGAATAAGCACAAATGTTGCTTGATGACACAGACTAATAAATAAAGAAAAAAGATATTTATCAGTAATTTACAAAAGTAGAAATACTATCCAAGCTATTAAAAAATTTGTATGAAGATAAGAAGTATGTAAATAATTTCCAAATTCTAAGTTTTGGAAGCTATGGTATGGTATTGTCTACCAAAAAAGTTAATTTAAAAAACAAGGAAATAGTACTAAAAATACAAAAAATTGCAAATGAACAATAAATTTAAAATGAAATTAGAATAATGTAACAATTGAAAACTCCTTTGGTAGTCTAGCTATATGACAATTATGTCATAGAAAAAGTTACATCACCTGAAAAATATGTAGTTTTTGAATTAGAAAAATGTTCATGTAAATTTTTATATTTTTATTTTTAACCTTGGAAATATTTTAATTTTTTATTCAATTAAATCTAAATTTTAAATAAAGTTTTTTAGTAGTATATTAGGCTATGATAGCCTGTAATATGATATAAAAATTGTTGTTGAGGTTATAATATGTATAATAATTCTATCATATAATTTATTGTAAAAAAGGTTCACTCTAGGATTATCTCGAAAGATAAGCAAAAGAAGGAGAATTTAGTGATGAAGAAAAACTAAATATTGCACTCCAAATAATTGACTCTGTCAATTATATTCATTGTTTCAATATTATTCATAGAGATATTAAACCTGACAATTTTTTGGTTAGTTTGGATGGAAATAAACTTTAAATCAAACTATGTAATTAACCTCATAATTTTTAATTTTTAATAATAATTTAAACATTTAATATAAGGTGATTTTGGCTTATCAGCTTAACTTGGAAAAAATTGTGAATAGATTAACATTTTAGATGTAAATTATTTAGTTACATCAACTAGCAAAAGATTTAAATATAATTTTAGATGGTAGGAAATTGGATATACATGGCACCTGAAATTTTGACTAAAAATGATAATGAAAATAAGATATATTCTAAAAAAGTACGTATTTTTATAAATACTTATAAATAAATATAATAAATTTTTGTTTTAAAGTCTGATTCTTACGCAGTTGGTTTACTATTATCTTTGGTTGATAACTACTTAATTTTGAAAGAAAATTTAGCAATTACTTTCATAAATATGGCTTAAAAAAAATATGATGAGCCTTTCAAAAACATAAATATTAAGAGAGATACTGAAATATTTAAATTTATTAAACTATTAGTTGTCTGGAAAAGAGTCAACAGAGCTTCTCTTTCTATTATTGTAGAATCAAATTCAAAAAAATTCAAATCAAACTAAAATGACATGAAATAAATTATATCATAGCATTATTTAGGTCCTATATAAAACTTTGAGACTGTAAACATCGGACCTGCTGCTCCATTACAAACTTAAGGTTAGATTCCAATTTAAGATATCAAGTAAAAAATATGTATATAGTATGAGAATCCAAATATAAGATATAATTAACATTTTAAATTTAAAAGAAAGTTTGAATGATTTAATATTTAATCATCCAAAATGGATACTTCCTTTCTAAAATTAAAAATTTTTTTAATTAATCACAAAATTATCGTCTAATATTACCATTTATAATAAATAAATAACCTTTATTAATTAGTTTATTAAAAAATATTTTGGGGTGGTAAGTAAAAATTGTAAAAATATCACAAATATAAAAAAATGGGAAAAATTAAAAATTGGTAAAAACATTTTGATAAATTTATAATATGTAACCCACCAATTAAATACTGTTAAAATAAAAGCTGTAAGAAAAAGTTTGTTTTTAGAACTGCCATATAAAATTTTTTTTTAATAATTCTATTATGATTGTCATTTACCAACTTAAATATTTATTAATTACCAAAGAAAATATAACGAATTTCTTTACTTACTCATCACAACACAACTAAAATAAAAACCAAAGCCATCATTTTTTACTATTCTTTCTCATTTATTTTTATTTATTTCATTATTTATTCTTAAAATTAAAGTTCGAATAATATTGGTGATAGAATAGAATAGAAATACTCATAAATATTAATGAATTCAGAAAAAATCTTAAAATTAGTTTTTATTATATTTATATATATTTTGATTTATTTTATTATGGATCTATACGGAGAGAATATAAAAATAGAAAATATTTTTAAATAAGTTTTAAATATTGGTGATGAGGGTGCAAAAAATTTAGGCACAATATTAGACAATTGCAAGTATACAGGAGCTTTGACGCTTAATTTAGAGTAAAAATTTAATTTATTGATTGATAAACTAATAATTGATTATTTTATGCTTTTGACTTAGTTATTAGCTAATTAAGTCAGCTTGTCATTTACTAACTTGCTTATTTACTAACTAACTAACCAAATAAAATATAATGAATTTCTTTAATTTCTTATTACAATAAAACTAAACTAACGAAAGCCATCATTTTTTACCATAGTTTCTCCTCTATATATATTTAATTCCTTATTTATTCTTATATTTAAAGCTCAGATTAAATTTATGTAATAAGTGCAAGAGATTTTAGCATAAAAATACCCTAGTGCAAGAATATCACAAATTTGATGCTTAATTTAAGGTAAAAAATTAATTTATTGATTGATAAACTAATAATTGATTATTTTAAGTTTTTGAATTATTTATTAGCTTTTTTAGCCAGCTTATCATTTACTAACTTGCTTATTTATTTGCTAACTAAAAATAAATATAATGAATTTTTTTAATTACTCATCACAAAACAAACTAAAATACTAATGAAATCAATTTTTTTTTACTAATTATCAGTATATCATGCGCACATATGTGCAAATAAATCAAAAACCACCTATTGCACGCATGTGCGCAATTTGTATAGCTACAGTTTATTTTTATAAAAATATAATCTTTTGTAAAGATTAGACCTTATATAACTAACTTTTAAGGAATCTAACTTTAAATTAAAAATATTTTAATACTAGAAATAAATTTAATAACAATTTTATTCACCATATTTTTTGAATTGAAACATTTAAAAAATAATAAAAAAATAAAGAAATCAAAAATTTTCTTTGAATATTTTTTATAAATTTATATCAAACAATAAGTCCTACCCAAATCCCAACCCTAAGCCCACTAATTTGAATAAAATTGATAAAATCTCTTTTAGCACGATATTTCAATTTTAATTAATCATAATTTAATTTTACCAAATTCTACCAAAATGTTCTGTTTTTAATATTTAAAAACTTATTCATTATTATTCAAAAAGGTAAAGGTTTAAAAATAACATTAAGCTTATTATTTTATATAATAATTTTTATATGTTTCGTTTGTTTCGTTATGATTGAGCGCATATGCGCAAATTTATATAAAAAGAATCCAGCACACAGTGCGTAATGTGTGAATTCAAAAAGAAATTCCCTTTTTTTACCATCCTTTATCCACCATATTTATTTAATTCGTTAATTATTCTTATATTTAAAGTTTAAATGGTGATTATAATGGTGTAGAAGATTTAGGCATAATATTTACCTGGTACAAGAATATCACAACTTTGACATTTAATTTAGAGTAAAAATTTAATTTATTGATTGATAAACTTTTAATTGATTATTTTAAGATTTTGATTTAGCTATTAGCTAATTAAACCAGCTTATCATTTACTAATTTATTTTTTTACTTACTAAACAAATGATATATAATCAATTTCTTTAATTATTCAACAGAAAAAAGCTAAAATATTAATTAAAACCATCGTTTTTTTACCTTCCTTTCTACTCCATATTAACTTAATTCGATATTTATTACTTTATTTAAAGTTTTAATAAAATTGGTGATGAGGGTGCAAAATATTTAGGCCAAATATTAGCCTAGTGCGAGAATATCACATCATTCTTATTATTTTTTAATTTTTCTTAGTTTTACTTTTTATCACCTGATTTTTTTGGTGTTTATTTATTTTTTTTAATTAATTTGTTATTTATTTTTAAAATTTAAGAAATAATAAAATTGGTGCAATAGGTGCAAGATATTTAGGTACAGGAATAGCCTTGTGCAAGAATATCACAACTTTGACTCTTAATTTAGAGTAAAATTTTAATTTATTGATTAATAAACTAATAATTGATTATTTTAAGCTTTTGACTTAGTTGTTAGCTAATTAAGCCAGTTTGTCATTTACTAAATTACCTATTTACTTATTAACAAAATTAAGTATTACGAATTTCTTTACTTACTCATAATAAAACAACTAAATACTAACGAAAGTCATCATTTTTACAATCATATCTCTAATATATCTATTTAATTCATTACTTATTCTTTAATTTAAAGTTGGAATAATATTGGTGATGAGGGTGCAAACAATTTAGGCACAGGAATAGCCGAGTGTTAGAAAATCACAACTTTGAAACTTGAATTATAGTTAAAATTTAATTTATTGATTGATAAACTAATAATTGATTATTTTAAGCTTTTGACTTATTTATTAGCTAATTAAGCCAGATTTTCTTTCTTGTTTATTTACTTACTAACCAAATAAAATATAACTAATTTTTTTTACTTACTCATCACAATACAATTAAATTACTAATGAAAGTCATCTTTTTTTACCATCTTTTCTCCTCCATATTTATTTAATTTGTTATTTATTCTTATATTTAAAGTTGGAATAACATTGGTGAATTAGGTGCAAAATATTTAGGAACAGCAATAGCCTAGTGCTAGAATATCACAACTTTGACAATTAATTTACGGTAAAAATTTAATTTATTGATTGATAAACTAATAATTGATTATTTTAAGCTTTTGACTTAGTTATTGTTTAATAAACCAGCTTTTAATTTACTAACTTCTTATTTACTTATTAACCAAATAAAATATAACGAATTTCTTTACTTACTCATCACAACACAACTAAATACCAACGAAAATCATCATTTTTTTACTATTCATTCTCCTCCATATTTATTTAATTTGTTATTTATTCTTATATTTAAAGTTTGAATAATATTGGTGAAATAGGTGCATAATATTTATGTACAGGAATAGCTTAGTGCAAGAATATCATAACTTTGACTCTTAATTTATTGTAAAAATTTAATTTATTGATAGAAAAACTAATAATTGATTATTTTAGGCTTTTGATTTAGTTATTAGCTAATTAATCCAGTTCTTAATTTCCTAAATTGCTTATTTACTTATTAACCAAATAAAATATAATGAATTTGTTTACTTATTAATCATAATACAATTAAAATACTAATGAAAATCATCTTTTTTTACCATCTTTTCTCCTCCGTATTTATTTAATTCTTTATTTATTTTTATATTTAAGTGAAAATGATATTGGTGATTTTGGTGCAAAAGATTTAGGCACAGCAATAGCCTAGTACAAAAATATTACAACTTTGACACTTGAATTATAGTAAAAATTTAATTAATTGATTAATAAACTAATAATTGATTATTTTAAGCTTTTTACTTAGTTATTAGCTAATTAAGCCAGATTTTCATTTAATAACTTACTTATTTACTTACTAACTAACTAAATAAAATATTACTAATTTATTTACTTAATCATCATCACACAACTAAAGTACTAATGAATGCCATCATATTTTAACCATCCTTTCTCCTCCATTTTTATTTAATTAGTTATTTATTCTTGTATTTAAAGTTGGAATAAGATTGGTTAAAAAGGTGCATATTATTTAGGCACAGGAATTGCCTAGTGCAAGAATATCACAACTCTGACGCTTAATTTAGAGTAAAAATTTAATTTATTGATTGATAAACTAATAATTTATTATTTTAAGCTTTTAATTTAGTTATTAGCTAATTAAACTAGCTTGTAATTTACTTATTAACCAAATAAAATATAAATAATTTATTTACTTACTCATTACATAACTACTAAATACTAATGAAAGTCATCTTTTACCATCCTTTCTCCTCCATATTTATTTAATTAGTTATTTATTCTTGTATTTAAAGTTGGAATCACATTGGTGCAATAGGTACATAAGAATTAGTCACAAGTATAGCCTAGTGCATGAATATCACAATTTTGAGGCTTAATTTAAGGTAAAAATTTAAATTATTGATCGAAAAACTAATAATTTATTATTTTATGCTTTTGACTAAGTTATTAGCTAATTTAGCTAAATTTTTATTAACTAACTTGCTTGTTTACTTACTAACAAAGAATTTACAATCAGCTTTAGGGCTAATATGTTAGTATATCTGGTCTATTATGTCAAATTTTGCCTTTCAAACATTTCACTAGAGAATTTACAATCGGAGCATTTTTAGATCAGTACAGGTAAAAAACCTCTCTGCCATACTATTTTTTCGCCTTCCAAGTATTTTCCTTGGAGGGCTACTTTTTAGACTTTTTTAAAAACATTTTTTAACAAATTTTTATTATTAAATTTATTAAAAATTTGTTAAAAAGTTTTTAAATATGTTGCCTCAAAGTAAAAAGCTAGGAAAGTGAAAAAATTTGGCATGATAGGTCGGATTTCGAACCTATTAACCAACCCTAAAATGCTCTGATTGTAAATTCTCTACTATCCAAAAAAAATTCATGAATTTCTTTACTTACTCATCACAACACATATAAAATACTAATTAAAACCATTGTTTTACCATCCTTTCTCCTCCAAGTTATTTAATTCATTATTTATTCTTATATTTTAAGTTGGAATTATATTGGTGATTATGGTGTAAAATATTTAGCCACAGTAATAGCCTAGTTCATGAAAGTCATAACTTTGACGCTTAATTTAGAGTAAAAAATTAATTTATTGATTGATTGATAAACTTATAATTGATTATTTTAAGCTTTTGAATTATTTATTAGCTAATTAAGCCAGCTTATCATTTACTAATTTGTCTATTTACTTACTAACCAAATAAAATATAACGAATTTCTTTACTAAAAATACTAACTAAAACAATCGTTTTTTTACCATCTTTTCTCCTCTTTATTTATTTAATTCGTTATTTATTCTTATATTTATAGAAATAATAAAATTGGTGCAATAGGTGTAAAACATTTCGTCACAGAAATAGCCTAGTGCAATACTATCACAACTATGGAGCTGGCTTTAGGGTAAAAATTAATTTATTGATTGATAAACTTATAGTAAATTATTTTAAGCTTTTGACTTAGTTATTAGCTAATTAAGTCAGTTTATCATTTACTAATTTGTCTATTTACTTAATAACCAAATAAAATATAACGAATTTCTTTACTTACTCATCACAATACAACTAAATACTAACAAAAGAAATCATTTTTTTACCATTCTTTCTTCTCAATATTTCAATATTTATTTAATTCGTTATTTATTTTTATATTTAAGTGAAAATGATATTGGTGATGAGGGTGCAAAACATTTAGGCACATTAATAACCTAGTAAAATAATATCTCAACTTTGACACTTGATTTATAGTAAAAAATTAATTTATTGATTGATAATCTAATAATTGATTATTTTAAGCTTTTAACTTAGTTATTATCTAATTAAACTATATTGTTATTTATTAACTTGCTTATTTACTTACTTACCAAATAAAATATAACGAATTTCTTTACTTACTCATCACATCACAACTAAATACTATAGTTTTTATACTATCCTTTCTCCTCCATATTTACTTAACTCGTTATTTATTCTTATATTTAAAGTTCGAATTATATTGGCGATGAGGGAGCAATAGATTTAGGCACAGGAATAGCCTAGTGCAAGAATATCACAGTTTTGAAGCTTAATTTAGAGTAAAAAGTTAATTTATTGATTGATTGATTGATTGATAAATTTATAATTGATTATTTTAAGCTTTTGAATTAATTATTAGCTAATAAAGCGAGCTTATCATTTACTAATTTGTTTATTTACTTAATAACCAAATAAAATATAACAAATTTCTATACTTACTCATTACAACACAAAAAAAAATACTAACGAAAGACATCATTTTTTTTTACTATCCTTTCTCCTCCATATTTATTTAATTCGTTATTTATTCTTATATTTAAAGTTGGAATATTATTGGTGCAATAGGTGCAAAAGATTTAATCACAGGAATAGCCTAGTGCAATAATATCACAACTTTGAAGTTTGTTTTAGGGTAAAAATCTAATTTATTGATTGATAAACTCATAATTGATTATTTTAAGCTTTTGACTTATTTATTAACTAATTAAGCCAGCTTATCATTTACTAATTTGTTTATTTACTTACTAACCAAATAAAATATAACGAATTTCTTTACTTACTCATCACAACACAGCTAAATACTAAAGAAAGCCATTGTTTTTTTACCATCCTTTCTCCTCCACATTTATTTAATTCGTTATTTTTTCTTTTATTTAAAGTTATAATAGTATTCGCGAGAAGCGGGCAAAAAATTAAGGTAAATTTAATTTATTGATTTATAAACTTATAATTTATTATTTTAAGCTTTTGAATTATTTATTAGCTAATTAAGCAAGCTTACCATTTACTAACTTGCTTATTTACTTATAAACCAAAAAAAATATAACGAAGTCCTTTACTTAATTATCACAATAAATTAAAATACTTACAAAATCTATCTTTTTTTACAATTCTTTGTATATTAAATTAATTAAAAAGTATCAAATACAAGGTAACAACTCATACAGTCACCATTTTATTTTTAAATGTTTAATTTTAATAAGACTACTACTACTTTAATAAAACAACACTTAAAAACTTTCATTTAAATAACAAATATTTATGTCTAAAAACAGTCAAGATATCATTTTTATTTTTATTAGACATATTTTTAAATATAAAAATTAAAATAATTAAAATTTATATAAAAAAAATCTAAACTTTCATAACTATTTATGATAAATTTATATAAAACACTAACAAAAACCCAATTTTAATATTTTATTTTGAGTAATTTTATTTTTGATAAAATAAATAAATTATATTTTAGCAATATTACCTATTTATTGATGACTATATTATTTGGTGCTTGAATATGTTTATCATAGCCTATATTAATTTTTTAAAAATAAAAGAAAACATTTTACATTTTAAATATTTTTGAATATTATTATTATTATTATATATTCTGTATTAATTGTGCTCTTTGTTTTTTACCAAAATCTTAATTTTAATGTACAAAAATTTTTGAATAAGATTCTGAGCACTTAAAACATAATTTCACTTTTTTTTAAGTTTTTAGATTTATTTAAATATTATTATTAAATAATTAAAAATTCTTTTTAAAATTATTGATAGATTTTAATTTAAACTATTATTGCTAATTAATAATTAAGTAAAATAATTTAAATTTCAAATAATAATACAAATATAATGAAAATAAATTAAGAAATATTTATTGTTGAAATTAAAACTTTTAATTTTAAAGATTAGGTAAAGATTTGGCCATTTAATTGAAAAATTTACTAGAAAAATAATTATAAGCTGTCGTAAAATATATTTAGTTAAAATTATAAAAAATTGATTTATTTTAACTAATAAAATAGGTAACTATAAATTGACAATCAACTAAAAATTAAATATTACAAACCTGATATTTAATAAATTATTAATTAAAAAGTTAAACTCTGCAAAAATGTATTTCATAAAATTATTTATTTTTTAATTTTGTTTTCATAAATTTGTTCATTTATTAAATCACAGTTATTATTTGTAATTTTATTAACACATAAAAATTTTGTTTAAATCTTAATCGGAAGTAAGTAATATTAGAAATTTTTTTTTTTAAAATCATGATTTGTTGTGATGAATTTATATAATTTATTATAAATACTATTATCTGAATCTGACAATGCCGCTTTAAATATGGCAAACAAAAGCAACATTTTTTATAAACATTAGGTATTTAGATTATTTAATATAAATTTGTTCAAAAATGTTTTTTAAAAAGTCTTAAAAAGTAGCCCTCCGAGTGAAATACTTGGAAGGCGAAAAATCAGCAAGGCAGAGAGGTTTTTACTGCCTACTGATCTAAAAAAGCCCCGATTATAAATTCTCTATTATGTTTAATCTAGAAATATTATGCTTAAAGAAAATCAATAAAGTAAAATGGAGTTGTTCTATAAATAAATATCTTAAATTAAATTGATATCAAATTATAAATTTTATTTAAAAGGGAGTTTACTATTTTTAGTATTATTATTTATATCTTTATATACCATCTGTTAATTAATTAATGACATAGCATACTAAAAGTTTATATAATTTTATCTTTACAAAAACTATATACATATTATTTTAATTATGGACTATAACAAAATGAACGAACAAGAGGTATCATTTAAATATTAAAATTTATTTATTATCATTTAAATTAAAATAAAATTTCCTAATAACATAATTTTTACACAGCATCCATTAAAAAATAAAAAAAATACTTATTTCCATCAAAAATAAGAAGCAAAAATGAATTAAAACTCAAAGATTACCTTGATTAATAGATTGAAGTTATTCTACATTCACGATTTTTACTAAATTGTAAAGGAAAGCAGAAGAAATATTCTTTTTTCTTTCTTCAGTTTTTGTATTTGGTAGCTAAATATGACACAGCTTTAAATTGATGATTCTACTTATTCTAATTTAGCTTCTAGTGATAAATAGCTCTCTAAAATATTAAGAACGATATTTTACTTAAAATCACATATGATTGCTTGTAATTTAGAAAATAGTTCTAATTGGGAGATTCCATTTCTATTCTCAATTAATTGCTTCCTATTGCTTTCTCTTCTACTTTGTTTATTTGTAAGGAGTAGTAGAACTAAAAGCTAGTTTTATTCAAAGCTTTCATAGGTTTTTTAGAATTATGAATATTTGTTTGCAATACCATCTCTTTACTTTTCCATAGCCAAATATCAATCTTACTTATCTATTGCTAATATTTTCTTAACTTTGATTTTAGGTTGATTCTCATTTCATTTATTCTTTAATATTTTAACCAATAAACTTTTTAAATTTAATATAGGACCATTATTCATTTCTGTAGATTATGATTATTCTTTCTAAAATGATGATATATTGCAAAGAAATGACTCAATATTTAATATAACCTCTTTTTATTTTGATAGCGTTCTCTGTGTTGCTAGTTGTTTTAGCAATATTTATGCTAATTCTATCATCGCTATTTTTATTAATACCTTTAAACTTATCTTTATATTAAGAAATCACACATTTGTTGATAAGAAGATATGTAGATGGTCTATCATTCTTACTTTTTTCAGGATAATAATGAGTTTCTCTAATCTTATATATAGCTAAAATAATTACAAGTTAAATGTTTTTTTCTTAATAGCAATTGTTTCTTTTCCTATCAGCTATAAGCTTGGGAATGTAGTTTTCTTGGAATGGTATACTTTTATAAATTTAAGTACTTCTGAATCTAATTTCAATTCAGTAAGTTCGAATATTTTTAGATTCGTTTAAGGTGAAAATAATAGATATGTAGACATCTATTGCAGATAATTAATGGATAGTTTAAGACAAAAGATTAAACTTTCTTCCAAATCTAAAAATTCTAGTATAATATTTTCTTAGTAATTACCATTTATATCTGATGAAAGCAGTCTATAATTTAATACAGTAAATTATCACCATTCTTTCTAATAAATTAATTATTAAAAAGATATCATGTCAATAGCAAATGTTTACCATGATACAATAACTAACTAAAAATTAAAGGATAAACTTAATGAAATAGATTTTTCTTACTTGACTTTTCTATCTGCATTTGATAATAATCAGTGCACTACCTATCTAAAGATATTTAATGTCAAAACAAATAAAAGGCTTTTTTTAGGAATCAAAGACTAATAAAAGCTTGAAAGTATCTTAAAAAAAGCTGAAAGTAAAATTAATGAATAAAATAGATCTACTAGTACAAGAAATTAATTTAAATTATATAATTTATTGTAATTTGAAGAAGATATCTTAAATATTTAATTGCTCTATTGTGAATGCTTGAATTTGTATAAAGCCGCAATCAAAATGCTTATGAAAAACTTTATCAAAATTAATGAAATGTTTACACTGTTAAAGTAATATAAGCACTCAAAATAAGAATTAGAAGTTAAGATCAAATCATAATTAAAACAATATCAAAATTGCGAAGTTCTTAAAAATATTTGCTTTAATTTTGATTTTTATTTGCTTCATAATTAGAATTTAATCAATTCTTAATAAAAATCAAACAGAACTTCTACATCAAAATTATTAAACAAAGAATATTATGACAAATCAAGCTGTTTTGCATTCGTTTCTCTCTTAAATTAATCTTTTGGGGCAATTAAAAAGGTTAATGCCTAATTTATCAAAACATTTGGATTTTTAAACAAGTATCAAATTTAAGATAGATCCATTTTTTAGATATTTCCTCTAAGTAATTATTAACAAGGTTAATATTCGATTTTACAATAATCACTATTACCAAATTACAATGATATTTTGAATGTGCCTCTCTTTTTAGCCAAACACTAAGCTGGATATTGTCTGCCCATTTAAATACAAATTCAAAGCTAAATCTTAGACGCTTAAGATTTTGGTTTCACTATATGGATAAAGCCTATCAAAGATGAAAATATTTACTTACTATTAGATAACTAAAATCCTAATCTGATTAAACTTGCCAACAAATAATTTTACAAAAAATGTTTAAAAGAAAAAACCTAATACGCATAAATACAATAAATCAAAACAGAGAGTCTATTACCAATAATTCATTATTTAATTAAAATTTCTCGAAAGCAATAGAATAAATAATTTTAAACTGTTTTCGTATTACCAAATAATAAAGATTTCTTAAAAGAAGAATCTTTGGAAGATTCAAATTTTTTAAACTATTTAAAGCATGCTGATATATAAAGCGCTACTGTATCTCTTCAATTTGAAAACGAATTAAGTTAATTTCATTCAGGTATTTACTTAACCATAAAAAATATGTAGCCTATAAACTCATTAAAAGAGAAGGTTGATTTATTAAAATTCTACTAATAACAAATAAAGGAAATATGCAATATTTCTTTGGAATTAGACTTAGATTGTTAAGGATAAAATTAAATCAGTTTGACAAATTTTAATTTAAGCTGTAACAGTGAAGAAAATAAAATCCAAGCTAGAAGTTTAACTTAACTTTAAAAAAATAATAGCTCTTAAAATTATGAGAAATTTACTTATACGAATTAACTGACCAGCTCAACTACAAACTATAATTCATTATATAAGTAAAATGGGATACTTGCCAAGCAAATCTTAGGCTCAGATATGACAAGAAGTAAAGTAATAATTACAACTGTATCTCCGAGATAACATTTCGAGTGCATACCAATGACCCCAGCTGCTAGCTAAATTGAATAACTGAATATTTAAGTTGAAGAGTCGTTTGACGAATGTTAAAATATAAATAAATAAAATAATATAAATTACTTCCAAGAATAATAAGCGAATTAGAGTAATAATAATTTAGAATCACCTACTACAATTATCTTTTCTCGCAATAAAAATCAAAGACTTCAGCAGATAGAAAAAATAAACTAATTTCACTTTAATTACGATGCTGACCTATAAAAAATGAATCAGGATTAAGAAAATAAAATGAGACACTTAAATTCAAATAACTTAAATGAATATCTTTCAAAAGAATAGAGTGAAGAACCTTTACCTAACAGTAAATGTGAATTGGTTTTGTCAACTACCCCAACAAAAGTATAAACCAAAAGCTAATTTAAATTCAAAAAAAGTTAGTAAAAGCTTTAAAGTTTCTAAGAAAATATACTTTAGTAAAACAAAGACATGTAATCTATCTCATCTTCATCAAACAACTCTTTTTAAATATAGTAAATAATTTATTTAACTATTTCAAACTAAATAAAGCTTAAAAATATTAACTTACTCAGCTAAAATCATTAATAAGGCATTTTAATTTTCAAAAAAATCAAATTTTTTCACTCAAATAATAAATTTGAAAAATAAAATAATTTAATTGAGTCGTTTTTTACAATTAATTATTTTATTTAAGCATTGTCTTATTAGTATTTAATTTAGCAATTTTGTTATTTTCAAAATTATATAAAATTATATTTAACTTAAAAGGTAAGTTTTTGAAAACATCCACAAAAGAAAACAGATGAAATACCTTCAAGGAATAAATATCTTGGGAGTGGCTTCTGTCTTAGTTACTCTTTCGATGACCTTACTTGGAAGTTTTATGTTTCTAGATAATTTAATTTATCAAAGAGAAAACTTTAAATATATAAACTGGATTTATATGATAAATGTAGAGATTAGTTTTACCCTTTCTGAACATAATAAATACAATGCTCTTAAATCAATAGAATTTACTATCAACTCCAGCCTCTGAATAATAGAAATTGATTGGTCTTATTAATGAATTTAATTAGTCAAGAATCAAACTTAGCAAAGATTTTATGAAAAAGTTATATAATAACACTAACAATGAAATTGAAGTCTTTAAAATTATTTAAGATTATTAGATCGTTTAAAATATTTATTAAAGCGCAAGCATATCACAATAACAAAAATTGCCTATGATTTATTCAATTCTTTAGTAAATATAAGGGATTTATTACGTTGTTTCTAACAAAGATCCTAAAGGAATAATCAAAAGATAAAATGAAATTAACTACCCAGCTCTAAATGAACAAGTTCAAGTTGTCTTTTCTCAAATGAATGATGAATATTAAAGTTAACTCTCAGAAATTTATGACTAAAGCATAATTTATGTTTATGTCATTACTCTTTTGACTTTGATTTTTTTAATTAGCATTATCCCAAGTTATATCTTTGCTAAAAAAAAATAGTAGCAAATTCTTAAGCTTTTTGCAACTTTTGATAAAAAGCAATTGAAGGAAATTTTAGATAAATTAACAAAATAAATTCAATAATTTTCAATAGACTAAAAGTAGAATTTTTCTAAATTTGATTCAAAAATTTTAAATATTTTGAATTAACCTGAAACATTTGAAGAAAAAAAACTTAATATTAGCAAGACTTCATCATTGAAATATTCTTTGAAAAAATTAATACTTGGTTTGCTGACAATTTTTTGCGTTTGTATAATTTATCCTATATTAAATTATTTTATTGTAGCAAAGTTTATAGACAATTCGAGAATTATTTACAGCTTTAACAGTAAAAAAATTAATTTTTTCAAACACATATTTATTATTTAATTTTATATAAAAAGATGTTGTTTGTGCCTCTTATTTTTCTTTAGTAAATTCTTTAAGAGCCAGGTAAGGTCTTGCTATGGCATTCCTAATGCCTTAACAATAGGTACTTTCAAGGTAATATTATCAAGGAATACTAACTTAAGTTACGACTTAACTAAATGAATTGCCTAATTTAATAAAAAAAAACTTAGAAAAAGTAAGCTCAGAAGAATAACACAACGAAGAAATTTTTGATGATTTATTAATTAGCATTTTTACCCAAAATACTTGCGATGCTATTTAAAAATACAGTAAGTATCTTAATGCAAATTTTGAATACAATTAATGTAACTCAGTTGGTAAAGGAGCTTTTTCAAAAGGTCTCCTTAATGGATATTTGTTCTTTATCGGAGTTCACAGAGACTATCTATCTTTTGCTTTTAGCCAAAGCACTGAAAGCTTTTAGAAGAATTTTAAAAAGTATAATAAAAATCTCCCTGCCATAAACTAATTTTAATATAAAACTGAGCTATCTAAATATTTTGAATATCTTTTGATTTTCTTTTAAGAATAAAATCTTTTGCTCTACAATTTCTACGAAATATTAAGTATAATTTTGGTAGTTATTCAAGTTTTATTAATATTAACAATCTTTTCAGTTGGCTGGTTTTATTACTTTAAAAGTATTAATAATTAAATCTATACAACTAGGCAACTATTTAATATATTTTAAATGTAATATTTATTACAAAATACTTACATCATGTCTTTCTTAAACTAAGATAGCTGATGGAATATTCAGATATAATATACAATATAATAAGGCACCTGACCCACACACATCAACATTTCCTACTTAATTTTATCCAAAAATTTAATTGAAATTTATATTTCAAACCTATTCCCACTTCTAGTAGTAACCATTAAGAAATTAGAGTATTTAAATATTTTATAATAGTTATTTATTTTTTTTGAAATAGTAAATTTATTTTTGTAAATTGCTTAAATATTTTGTTTGTATTTTAAATGCAAAAATAGTATTTAATATTTATCCTTCTATAAATTAATTGTTTGTTCAAAGAGATCAAAGTAAAGTGAATCAATCTATAATAACTTTTTCTATTGAAGCAAGGCTATCTAAAGATCAATTAAATTAATTGTGTTCGTATTATATAAAATCTAATTGTATTGATAAAAATTTAATTATGTAATTGATTATATTAAAATTTATATCAGAGCAAAGCTTTAGGATTATTTTTACAATTATGCAATTAAATTTTTTGTTAAAATAGTCTTACTTTTTAAAGTAGTTTGAAAGTTTCTTTATATTTAAAATTTTGATTGGCACACATTCATTATATATTTCCTTATTAAGTTTGGTGAATATGAGATATTTATTAAAATTAATCTTGGAAACAAAGAAAGGAAAAAAAACAAATTAAATCAAAACTAAATAAAGAATAACTCAGCATTACTAAAAATTAACATAAAATAATTAGATGAATAGTTAAAATAGTTAAATAGTAACAATTAGTTAGTGCAATTTTAATATCATAATTTAGCGATTGAAATTATTTTATATTAATGATCTATATTAGCTAGTTAAACAAAGCAATAGAAGCATCCCATTTTCATTGTTTTGCTTTTGCATTTAGCAGATAATGCTGATTTAGATGTAAATAGATGAAACAACATATAGAAATATATTTTCTTAAGATAAAATTCTTAATAGTTGGGTTAGATATATTTTTTTCATAAAAGAAATAACCAATTTTTAAGAAATTTTGTCGGCTATTTATACATTTCTAGTGTTTAATTGCTTTGTTATACTTTTGCTTTTTATCTCTGCTATTTTAAGAAGTAGAAATAAAAGTTAATCTAGTATGAACTTTTCTTAGCTATTTCTGTGTTACGAGTATTTGATTGCAATTCCTTCTCTTTATATTTCTATAGCCTCATACCAGTATTATTTATCGTTAGCTAACATGATTATAACCCTGCTTTTAGGTTCGTTTTTATATTTTTGGTAACAATTAAAATATCATTTTTTAAAATATTAAAATAGCATCATTATTTATTTCTATGGATTATGATTACTCTTTTTAAAATGAAGACATTCTGTAAAAAAGTGACTCAATTTAGAATTTGCTATTCTTTTATTTAGATTTTATTCTTTGTGTAACAAGCCGCTTTGCTAATATTTAGGTTTTATCAGCTTTATCTTTAATTTTAAATATTCTGAAACTCGTTTTTATTTTAAAAACCCATGCTTATATTAATAAAAATATATGTAGATGGTCGATAATTGTTATTTTTTTCAAAATAAATTTTACATTATTACTACTTTTTGTCAGCTAGAACGAGTTGAAATATGATCTCATTTCCCTTTTAATAATAATTTTATTCCCTTTTTGTCTTAAGCTTGGGAATATTCTTTTCTTAGAATGGTATACATATATAAATTTAGATTACACTGATTAGAGTACTGCTTCTCTTAGTCAATCTGCATTTCAACTCTTAATGGGACAGAAGAATAAAAAGATAGATTTATTTTGTAGACAAATGATAAACAATAGAAGAGAGCATATTAAATATTCTTCTAAATTTAAGAACCCTTCAATAATATTTGCTTAGTAAGTTCCTTTTATTGGGATATTTGTTGATGAAGAGCAAGATTATGTAATTTAATTTTCCTTTTATTTAAATTTAGAAGATTTAAACAAATTTAATTAAATGAAGTTATTCTATAATTAATTTTAATTAAGCAAATCAGGTAGATGAAGTAAATAACATAAATTAAAAAAGAAGATTAATAAGGTGAATAATTAAAGTAAGATGACTCAAGTTACTTGCATCTTATTAAAACAGTACAAAATATTTATTAAGAAACGTTTAAAGACAAATAAGAAAAAGACACTTTTGATGAAGTAGATATTTCCTATTTTACTTTTCTTGCAACTGTAAGTAATAACTAATGTGTGGCATATCTTAAGATAATTAATGCTAAAACAAACAAAAAACTTGCTTATGGAATTAAAGACTAGTAGAAATTATAAAATATATTGAATTTGATTGAAATTAAATGTCTCAGCTAGAAAAGAAGATCTGATAATGATAAAAGTGAATTCTAATTATATAAATTATTGCAATTTGAAGAAGATTTAAAAAATATAAAATTATTCTACAGTGAATGTCTAATCATGTACAAAGTTATAATTGAAAAACTGTTGTTGAGCTTTATAGAAATAAATGAAATATTTGTGCTATTAAAATAATTTAGAGATAAACGAAGCTAACTGGAAAACAAAATTTTGAAATAATTGAAACATAATCATAATAGTGAAGATCTTAAAAATATTTGCATAAACTTTGATTTTTATATGCTTCATAAGTAGACTCTATTGAGTTTTTATGAGAGATAAAATAGATAATACAAAAAAATGTAATAAAATAAAGAGTTTTATGATGAATCTAGTTGCTTTTTGTTTGTTTCTATTTTGGATTAATCTTTTGGAATTATTAAAAGAGCTAATAATTCCTTTGTGAAAGCTCTTGGATTCTCGAATAAATAATAAATATAAGGCAAGTCTATATTTCAATTATTATCTATAAGTAATATTAATATTAATCAATTATAATCTTGCGTAATAAATGAGTTGATATCTCCCATTTACAACCAAATTTAAAACTTACCTCTTTTTTTAGCAAAACACGAACTAGGATATTGTGTACCATTTTAGTTAAAAATTTAAAGCTAAATTGTTGAAAATTAAGATTTTGGTTTAACAATATGGGCTAAAGAGATAAACGAAGAGCATATTTACTTGGTTTTAAATCATCTAAACCCAAATTAAATTAAGTTAGCCAATAAATTATTTTGTAAGTAATTTTTGTATTCAAATTTTGATGCATAATAAATAAGAAACATCAAAACAGAGAATTTGATTCCAATCATTCACTATTTAATTTAATATACAGAAAAAAATAAAGAGTAGCAACTCTAAACAGTTTTTATTCAACCAGATAAAGACTTATGTCAAGAAAATCTTCTTTTAACTGATATAAATTTCTTGAATAAATTAATACATGCTGACATATGTAGCGCAACTGTGTCCCTTTCATTCTAAAAAGATTTCAAATAATTAGAACCTGATATTTACTTGTCTATCTAAAACATTCAGCCAGTGATGAGTTTCAAAGATAAAAATAATTTAATATTATTCTACTAATAACAAATAAAAGAAATATGCAATATTAATTTAGACTTTGAGCATTAAGAAATAAATAAAAATGATTCAACTAATAACTAGTTAAATCATTAGTTTTATCAAGATAATTTAATATTAAATTAAAGCTTAGTTTAATTTGAGAACAATTTGGACACATTATATGAAGAGCCATCTTCAACTCATAGTATAAATTCTAATTAGAATTCCATAAACAAGCCAGCAGGAGATTTTTAAAAAAATAAGAGAAAAAATGAAAAGCTAAAGTAAAAAAAATATATTAAAGAAACAAATATATCTCCAATATAAAATTAAGAATCGATTCTATTAATGACTCCAGAAAGCAAGTAGACTTAGTAGTTAAATTTGCTTATGGAAAATTCAATTGATTTAAATTAAATAATTCATAGTGAATAAAAAATTTATAAAGAAGATTTAGTTTAAAATTGCATCAGCTTAGTTTCACCTAGTAGAAATTATTATAGCAACCAAACAAGCTCACCTTTGAACTAATTTAAGAAATATAGCTATTATAATGATAATTATGAGATCAATTAATTCAAAAAATTAAATTAAATACAAAATTTTAACTAAAACCACTTTAATAATGAATTTATGAAAGAGACAAATGATATTGCTCCACTTTCTAGTAAGCGCGGATTTATTAAACCTAATTAAGAATCAAGCTAAATTTAAATATAAAAATCATTCAAAAAAAAAAATAATCATAAAGAAATTAAAGATAAAAAGTTTTTAGCTAAACAAGGAAATAATCTTTAATAAAATATAGACATTCAATCAATATCTTCTTCATCGAAAAGCTTTTTAATAAGGTAAAAAAAATTAATTTCCTTTTCTAAAATTATCTTTAATTTGTTTAAAATAAATAAATAAAAACCTTTTCTTAAAAATGTGCTTAAATCTAAAAAAATAATTTTTAATTTTCATAAAAAGCAAATAAATGAAACAAAAATGTTTAAAATTATTATTTATTGAATCAAATAACTGTAGTTTCTTCCATATAATAAATATATTAATTACTTTATAAGAGGAAAAAATATTTTAGTTTATATTTTTTTTAAGATAAAATAATTACTTTAAAATACAATTTTAACATAAAAATAAAAAATTTATTTTTTAGATTTTTTGATAAATTAAATTTAATAAAATAATTATTATTTTTTTTATTGAAAGGCAAGTATTTGAAAATATTAACAAAAGAAAGTAAATGAGATATCTTAAAATAATAAATATTTTAGGAATATCATCAATTTTAGTTACTCTGGCTTTGACTTTATCAGGGTTTTTTACCTTTTTCACAAGCTTAGCTTCTCAGAGAGAAAACTTCAAATATATTAATTGGATTTATTTGATCAACGTTTAGATTAGTTATTCGCTTTCTGAGCACAATATTTTTCTATTAAATGAATATGGTTTCTATTAAACACCTCCTTCTCAAAACTAGCTGTTCAATGATCTTCTCACTTAGTAATAAAATTCAAGGATCAAGCTCAGTAAAGACTATATGAATTTGCTTTACAATAATACTCAGAGTGATATTTAAGTTTTCAAAATTATTTAAAATATCTAAATTACGCAAAATATATATCAAAGTAATAACACATACCAACAGAAAAATGTTTCAATGATATACTCTATCCTCTTATAAATATTTGGTATCTACTATTTCGTTTCCAATTAAGATCCTGATGGTATTATCAAAAGATAAAATGAGATTAATTACCCTGCATTAAACGAGCAAGTTTAGTCTGTTTTCTCTTAGATCAATGAGTAATATTTAAGTTAGCTTTAAAACATTCAAAATGAAAGCCTTATTTAGTTATGTGTAATAACTTTTATGACTTTTATTTTTTTAATCAGTATCATTCCAAGTTATATTTTTGCAAAAAGAAAATTAGAAAAAATTCTAGAACTATTTGCGACTTTTGAAAGGTAATAATTGCAAGAAATTCTTGATCAGATAGCTAACCAATTATAACTTTATTAAGTTGACAGCAAATTCCATTTTACAAATTTAGATTCCTATGATTTGAATAATAAAAAATAAAATCAACATGTCATTTCAGAAAAAAAGCTAAATATAAGTTAAACTTCCTCTTTAGAATACTCTTTAAAAAATTTGCTAATAGGATTAGTGGTTATATTTTGCCTATCTATAATATACCCTATATTTTATTATTTGAATGTGAGACTTTTCATTGATAGCTCAACTACAATCAACAATTTTAATAGTAAAATTTTTATTTATCGTTAAAACATTTTTTGATATTAATTTATAATATAAAAAAGACGCTGTTTGTATTTCTTATTTTACAGTTTTAAATTCTTTAAGAGCAAGATAGGGTCTTGCTATGGCGTTTTTAATGCCACATTAGCAACCAATTTCTGTTTAAACTTATTAAGATATTCTTAATTAGCTTACGATTCAGATAGATGAACTACCCAATTAAATACAAAAGAATCTAGAAAGTATTAACTCAACTAATTTACACAATTAAGCCATATTTAACGATTTCTTGTTACATCTATTTACATTAAATGCTTGTAATAGTATTTAAAAATATAATTAATATTAAAATGGAGATTTTTCTTTAGAAGAATGCAACACTGTAGGTAAAGGCTCTCTTTAATCTGGTCTTCTAAATGGATTAATGTTCTTTTTTAGCATTTATAAAGACTTTTTATCTTTTGCATATAGTTCAAGCAGAGAAATTTTTTAACAAAATTTTATGAGCTATAACGAAAACTTTCCTGCGTACAAGCAGTTTTAATTTAAAATAGAATTATCAAAAGAATTTGAGTATTTGTTAAACTTTTTTTAAGATTAAAATCTGTAACTTTATAATAATAATGAGAGCCTGAGTATAATTTTAGTAGTTGTTCAAGTGTGCTTTGTAGCAATTATATTTACAGTAAGCTGGTCTTATTACTTTAAAAGTATAAATAAACGAATTTTCTCAACGAAATAACTACTGAATATATTTCCATAGCAATATATTATTTAAAATGCATATATCTTATCATTTTTAAGTAAGCATGATTGATAATTTTGTTATATTTGTCCTTTTAAATTTTATTAATTAATTGGTTTACACCAAAATATTTTTATTTAAAGTGATTTAATTTATTCTATAACACAGTAAATAAATACTAAATTTTAAATTATAAAATTATTTTTTATAGATATTTCAAAACAAATTTATTGAATTTATAAAATACTGATAACCACAATTGGCTAAATGAGTTTATGATTATGAATGAATAATATAAATATATATTAATTAAATTAAGTATTAAAATATATTCTTTTTAGCTATGTAAATTTATTAACTAAACGCAAATATTGATTAACATTCATAAAGAAACAATGCTTGATTACTATTTGATTTCTTTCTTTGATTATAAAAACACCCAAATTACATGTTTTTTTTAATAAAACTAGACATAAAAATCCTTATTTAAAACCTAATAGATAAGTGAAAGTAATTTGAAATTTAAAGACTTTATAAAAAACAAATAAAGTAAAGCAAAATTTAGTTAAATAATAATCAAAGTAATATAAACTAATTAGGTAATTTAAAAGCAAATAAGTTAAGAGGATGAAATAGAATTAGCTAAAAAATTTAACTTAGGGATTAAAATTATTTTATATAAATGATCTTTATGAAGTGGTTAAACATAGCAAAAGAAATATTCATTTTTCATTGTTTTGCTTTTTCATTTAGTAACTAATAGAAATTTAAATATAGATAGATGATGCAACATATAGCAAATTATCCACAAATGATAAAATATTATCTAAATGGGTGAGTTATTTTTTTTTCTTAAAAGAGTTAGAGTATTCCAATGATTCATAAAATTATTTAAAGTGCTTCATTTATGCTTTCTTAGCCCTTAACTATTGTATTTTGATTTATTTATTCATCTACGCTATATTAAGAAGTAGAATTAAAAAGGCTTCTTTTTTGCAGTTTTCTCAGCTGTTTCAGTGCTATGAGTATTTGATAGCTATCCCTTCTCTTTATTTTTCTATAGCTACATATTAGTACTATTTGTCGTTAATTAACCTTTTTACAACCCTTTTTTTAGGTTCATTTTTATTTTATTTATAGTAGCATTAATAACTTTTATTTTTAAACATTAAAAAGCATCATTATTCATATCTGTGGATTATGATTACACTTTTTAAAATGAAGATGTTCTCTAAAAAAGCGACTCAGTTTTAAATTTATTATCTTTCTATTTAGACCTGATTTTATGCATAACAAGTTGCTTTTTTGACATCTATTCTATAACGACTGTTTCCTTTATAATAAACATTATGAAACTCATCATTATTTTAAGGACTCACGCATATTTTAATAAAAATATATGTAGATGGTAAATAATTCTTACATTTTTCAGGTTAAATCTATCATTAAGCATGATTGTCTATAGTCAGAACTAGTAGAATTTAGATCTTATTTTCTTTTTAGCTATAATTATGTTTCCATTTTGCTACAAGCTTGGAAATGTTGTTGTTTTAGAGTGGTACACTTTTATAAATTTAGATTACACTGATTAAAAAAATGAGTCTATTTATTACTAGGTTTTTTAATGTTTATTAGGCTAAAGCTCTAAAAAGAAAGACCTGTTTTGTAGATAATTAATGGATTCAACAAGATAAAAAGTAAAATTATCTACTGATTTTAAGAATCCTTTGATAATATTTGCTTAAGAACTCCCATTTTAAGGAACTGCTCAAAATTAAGAAAAAACAACTGTAAACTAATTATTTTTTATCATTTAAATATCATTTAGTCATTTTTAATTAAGCCAAATTTTTTTTAATTAATAATTTATCAGTAAGTAGAATAGATGAAAGTGATTAAGCAAAAAGACTTAGATAAATAAGAGGCTTAATTAGATGAATAATTCAAACAGGATGACGCAAGCTATTTTAAATCTATTAAGGCAATATTATAAATTTATTAAGAAGCCATAAGAGACAAATAAGATAAATAGGTTCTTGACGAAATAGATTTTTCTTATTTGACTTTTCTAGCATCTGTAAATAGAAATTAATGCGCAGCATATCTTTCAATTCTTAATACAAAAACAAATAGAAAACTTGCTTCAGGAATCAAAGATTAATAAAAGCTACAAAATATAATGAAAATGACTGAAATTGAATGCCTCAGTTATAATATAAGATGTAAAAACAAGAAAGAGGATTTCTAATTGTATAAAATATTATAATTTGAAGAAGACTTAAAAAATATATAACTTTTCTATTGCGAATGTTTGAATTTATACAGAATTATAATCGAAAAGCTACTACTAAATTTTATAGAAATAAATGAAATGCTAGTACTGTTAAAAAAATTTACAGAAAAAAGAAGTATGTTAGAAAGAAATATTATTTAGTAGTTAAAATACAATCACAGTAGCAAAAATTTAAGAAATATTTGTATTAATTTTGATTATTACATGCTTCACAAGTCGAACTTGTTAAAATATTATGAAAGACTGAATAGCTAATCAAATTAAAAGTAAAAAAATAAAGAATACTATGATGAATCAAGCTGCTTTTTATTTGTTTCTCTGTTAGATAAATCTTTAGGAATTATTAAAAAAGTTAATAATTCTTTTATTAAAACACTTGGTATCTCTGATAAGTAACAAATATAAGAAAAATCTATATTTGAGCTCTAAATTTTACCTCAAAGAAATTATTAATAGGAATATATATAATAAAATTCATTTTTAGAAGAAGTAATTCCACCAATTTACAATGATATTTAAAACTTGCCTCTTTTTTTAGCTAAACACTAGGCTGGGTATTGTGTGCCATTTTAACTAAAAGTTCAAACATAAGTTTTAGATTATGATGATTTTGGTTTGGCTATTTGGGCAAAACCTATTAAAGGTTAATCTATCTATTTATTATTAGATGATGAAAATCCAAATAATATTAAACTTGCAAATAAATTATTTTATAAATAATTTAAAACCATAGATACCTCGTAATTGAAAACAATCAAAATAGATAGTTTAATTCCCATAATTCATTATTTGATCTAGCTTTCTAAAAACCAAAAAAATACAATAAAATTCTAAACTGTACTCATTCAACCAAATCAAGATTTCTTATTAGGAAAATCTATTTTCAGTGATGCAAATTTCTTAAATTATTTAAAGTATGCTGATATATTTAGTATAACTGTATCTTTTTATTTCCTAAAAAAATTTAGCTCATTTGAATCAAGTATTTACTTAATAATTGAAGACATATAACCTCAAAATAATTTAAAGGATAAAAGTAATTTATTGTAATTCTACTAATAATAAATCAAAGAAATCTGCAAAGTAGATTTAAATTTAGACTTAGACTTAGAAATTCAAGATAACTTAACATCAATGTGTGTAAATTAATAAGAAAATGATGAATCAATATAATATAGAAGTTCAATTTAATTTGTAAAGAATTTTAGTATCTAAAATGAGCAGTCAACATTAACTTAAATTCTCAATAGCGCAACAACAAACTAAAATTCTATGTATAAATCGAATGGATAAGCTCTCAAGAATAACAACAGCGAATTAAAAAAAGTAAAAAAAAATAATGTAACAACATTCACAAGTAACTCTCCAAGATAAAATTATGAATATATGCTTGCTAGTCCAGTAGCAAGTTAATTGCAATAAATAAATCTTTAATTAGAAGAATCGACGGAATTAAATTCAAAATTATTCTAAAACTTTGCATAAATTAGCTAAAATCAAGAATTCTATGCTTTTAGAAAGATTTAAACTTAGAAATCGCCTGAGAAATAGTCAATTTTAAATTAGAATGACAAATTTAATTTTAGCTAATTTGAAGAAGTAAATCTTGAATATGTTCAGACAAGCAGGCATGCTGTACAAGAAGATTTAAATTCTTAAATTTAAAAATAAATAACTGATATTCCTCCACTATCTAGTAAGCGTGTCTTGATTTAAACGGTAGCATCGCCATAAAATAAATTAAAGAAAAAATCATAAATGCAAAAGATTAATGAAAAGAAAGTTAAAGACTAAAAATATTCAAATTAAAGTTTTTAGGAATAAGAGGCAAGCAAATTATAATAATAGAATATTGATATTTAATCTATTTCTTCTTCCTCAAAGAGTGTTTAAACACGGTAAATAATTTAGATTTAATATTTTATGTTTGGAAAATTAAAAATTGATTTTTATTATTTTAATAATAAGGATATTTAAAATTCTTAAGTTCTATATATAAATAAATATTTAATTAATTTGTGTTTTTTTAATTTAAAAAGACATGTTTTTGAAAATATACACAAAAAAAGTCAGATGAGATATCTTAAAATAATAAATGCTTTCGGAATATTATCAGTCTTAGCTATTCTATCTTTAACATTGTTAGCATTTTTTAACTTTCTTACAAGCTTAGTTTCTTAAAGAGAAAACTTCAAATACATTAACTGGATTTATATGATTAACGTATAAATTAGTTATTCCCTATCAGAGCGTAATATTATTCTGCTAAACAAATACAACGTTTTATCTACACCAGCTGCTCAATACCAACCTTTCATGGATCTATTAAATGAATAAAATTAATCTAGGATATCGCTGAGTAAACAACATATGAATTTACTTTATAATAATACTAACAAAGATATAGAAGTTTTTAATATTATTTAAAATAATTACATCATTTAAAATATATTTCAAAGCAATACTATATCCTAATAGTAAAATCTTTCAATGATATATTCAATACTCTTATAGATTTTTGGGATATTTTATTTCGTTTCTAACAAAGATCCTTTAGGAATAATAAAAAAATAAAATGAGATGAACTATCCAGCTTTAAATGAACAAGTTCAATCTGTTTTTTCTCAGATGAATGATGACTATTAAAATTAACTTTCATCCATTAAAAACCAAAGTCTTATTTAATTATATGTTATTACTTTTATCATGCTTCTTTTTTTGATTAGCGTCATACCAAGTTATATCTTCTCTAAAAAAAAATAGTAATAAATTTTAGAACTCTTTGCAACTTTTGATAAGTTATAGTTGAAAAATATTCTTGATCAGATAGCTAATTAACTATAATTTTACTAAATAGATCAAAAAAAAAATTTTATTAAATACGAAAATAAAATTTCTAATGGTTAATTTAAAAATCATCTTGCGAAATCTGAAAAAAAATTAAATATTAGTCAAACTTCTTCTTTAAATTACTCATTAAAGAACTTAATAGTGGCATTAATTCTAATATTTTGCTTAACAACAATTTATCCAATAATAAATTATTTTATTGTGAAATAATTTATTGATAATTCTATGGTTATTTACAATTTTAACAGTAAGTTTTTTTATTTTCTCATAATTTAAAATTATTTTCATTCATTTATTTATTAATAAAAAGATGTTGTCTGTGTTTCTTATTTTGCAGTTTTAAACTCATTAAGAGCTAGATAAGGCCTTGCTATGGCATTTTTAATACCTTAATACTAAGCTCTGTCTATTTAAACTTATCAAGGAATTCTAAATTAACTTTCCGTTTAGATAGATGAATTACCTAACTTACTAAAAGAAAACCTTGAAAAAATAGGTTCAACAAGTTTACACAATTAAGAAATATTTGATAACTTTTTGATTAATGTATTTACTGATAATGCTTGCGATACAATTAAAAAATACACTTAATATCAGAACGGAGATTTTTTGTATGATTAATGCAATACTGTTGGTAAGAGCTCTCTTAAATCAGGTCTTCTTAATGGAATTATATTCTTCTTTAGTATTTTTAAAGACTATTATTCTTTTGCTTTTAGTCCAAATGCAACCGTTTTTTAAAAATATTTTAATAACTATAACAAGAATATTCTTGCAATAAAATAATTTTAGTTTAAAATAGAATTATCCAAAGAGTTTGAGTACCTTTTAAACTTCTTTTAAGAATAAAATTTATAGCTTTATAATTTTTATGAGAATCTTAGTATCGTTCTAGTAATTATTTAAGTGTGCCTTGTAGTAATAATATTTATAGTAAGCTGGTCTTACTACTTTAAAAGTATAAATAATTAAATTTACTCAACGAAATAGCTATTGAATATATTTCCATAGCAATATTTAATTTAAAATACATATGTTATGTCATATTTAAATTTGCGTGATTGATAATTTATTTGTAGATGCTTACTTGTTATTTATCGGGAGTACTCAAATATAAGAGATACCCTTAATAAGTTATATTTTTTTATAAAGTAGATTTTAATTAGTTTTTGACCAAAATTTATTTATATATAATGATTTACTTTATATTCCATATTACAGTAAATAAATATTAAATTTAAAAATATAAAATTACTTTTTATTGCTATTTCAAAACAATTTTAATTGAATTTGTAAAATACTGACTATAATTTTAGGCTGAATGAGTGTATGATTTAATGAAAAATGTGAATATATATTAATCAAATTAATTATTCATATATTTTCTTTTTAGTTACTCAAATTTATTAATTAAATACAATTATCGATTAACTTTCATAAAGAAACAAAATTTGATTACTATTTAATTTCTTTCATTGATTTTAAATACACCTAGATTACAGGTTTTTTTAATAAAACTAGACTTAAAAATCCTTATTTAAAATCTAATAAATAAAAGAGAGTAATTTGAAATATAAGATTATAATAAAACAAAAAAGATATATCAAAACTTAGTTAAAATAGTAAAATAATAAGCAAACAAGCAAAGTAATATAAACTAATTAGGTTATTTTGAAGTAAATAATATGAATTAGAATTAGTTAAAAAATTAAACTTAAGGATTAAAGTTATTTTATATAAATGATCTTTATGAAGTGGTTAAACATAGCAAAAGAAATACTCGTTTTTCGTTGTTTTGCTTTTGCATTTAGTAACTAATACTAATTTAAATATAGATAGATGATGCAACATATAGCAAGTTATCCACAAATGATAAAATATTATCTAAATGGGTACGTTATTTTTTTTTCTTAAAAGAGTTAGCGTATTCTAATGATTCATAAAATTATTTAAAATGCTTCATTTTTACTTTCTTAGCCCTTAACTTTAGTATATTGATTTATCTATTCATCTACGCTAAATTAAGTAGCAGAATTAAAAAGGATTCTTTTTTGAAGTTTTCTCAGCTGTTTCAGTGCTATGAGTATTTGATAGCTATCCCTTCTCTTTATTTTTCTATAGTCACATATTAATACTATTTGTCCCTAATTAACCTTTTCATAACCCTCTTTTTAGGTTCATTTTTATTTTATTTATGGTATCATTAATAACTTTTCATTTTAAATATTAAATAAGCCTCTTTATTCATATCTGTGGATTATGATTACACTTTTTATAATGAAGATATTCTCTAAAAAAGTGACTCAGTTTTAAATGTATTTTCTTTTTATTTAGACTTAACTTTAATCTTCGCTGGTTACTTTTTTCACCTCTACTCAACTATTACTGTTTCCTTTATAACAAACATTATGAAACTCACCATTATTTTAAGGACGCACGCATATGTTAATAAAAATATATGTAGATGGTAAATAATTCTTATATTTTTCAGGTTAAAATATATCTTTAAGCATGATTGTCTATAGTCAGAACTAGTAGAATTTAGATCTTATTTTCTTTTTAGCTATAATTATGTTTTCCATTTTGCTACAAGCTTGGCAATGTTGTTGTTTTAGAGTGGTACACTTTTATAAATTTAAATAACACTG